GTCCTTAAGTGCGGAAAAAGAAAGGCCTGGCTTGACCCTAATGAAGTCAATGAACTCTACAAGGCTAATTCCCGACAAAACATTAGGAAGTTGGTTAAGGATGGTTTCATCATCAGGAAGCCGACCAAGATTCACTCGCGATCCCGTGCTCGCAGAATGAAGGAGGCCAAGAGAAAGGGACGTCACTCCGGGTATGGTAAACGTAAGGGTAGTAGGGAGGCCAGATTACCCACGAAAGTGCTTTGGATGCGGAGAATGGTGGTCCTCAGGCGCTTGCTGCGTAAGTACAGGGAGTCGAAGAAAATTGAGAAGCACATGTATCATGACATGTACATGAAGGTGAAGGGAAATGTTTTCAAGAACAAACGTGTTTTGATGTAGAGCATCCACAAGTCTAAGGCTAAGAAGGCCAGAGAGAAGACCTTGTCTGATCAGTTTGAGGCTAAGAGAGCGAAGAACAAGGCCAGTAGGGAGAGGAAGATAGCGAGGAGAGAGGAACGTCTAGCCCAGGGGCCAGGAGAGAGAGCACCGCCTACCGCTGCAGCAGCCCCTGCATCCCAGCCAGCACAGGGAAGTAAGAAAGCTAAGAAGTGAAATATCTATTATGGCAACTTTTAAGCATTGGTGGCTTTATGTCATGGCACTGCTTTTGTTAGTATGGCACTTTGTTTTTCCCCCTTTTTGTTGTTATCTTTCGATAAAACTACGTTATCTAAATCTTGACGAAAGGAATACTAAAATACATCACTCTAATTTGTCATATTTTGATTTTTAAAAAAAACTATTATTTGTGTGTTAACTGATTTTTGATACATGTGTTCTTGTTCTTAGCAAATTTGCTACATTTACGTGCTCCCATTGATGCTTTTTCGTGTTTAAAGATGGTACTATAAGACATTTTTTGCTTCGCATGCTTGTAGTGTTATTTTGAGCACCGTTGCTTCGATACTTTTATTTTTTACTATTTGTCTGTTTGTTGGTTGAATATTATGCTCTTGTTTATCGTCTAATCGAAACTTTGTTTCACTTGTCCTATGTTTAATATGTTCTTGATTGATTGAGCAAAAAGAGTAAATCAATAAAATAATATCAATCTACGATAAACATGAACAATCACGGAGGTTCTACAGGCTATCAATGAAACATCAAGTACACTTTGTAAGTTTTTGATGTATTTTTTCTCTCTTCTTAACTATATAGGAACCATATTCTGATTTTGTATTGTTCATTGGATTCCTATGCAAGAACTAATTTTTGCTTTTCATATACTGTGTGCTTTGCAGACGATTCCTAAAGCCTTTATTCGTGATCTTGGACATCAGCTTGGGAACATGGTACGCAT